CTGCTGCTGCTGCTGCTGCTACTGCTGCTACCACCACCACCACCACCACCACCACCACCACCACCACCACCACCACCACCACCACCACCACCACCACCACCACCACCACCACCACCACCACCACCACTTCCACACTCCAAAGTTGAAGTGTTTGACAAACTAGTCATCCGCCGGCACCCGGCTATCGCCAGGGTTGAGCGGCCGGGAAGACCACCACCGCTGTGCCCGCCCCTGCCACTGCCACCGGCGCCACCTCCCTACATGAGCCATAGCCTAAACTCCTAGCATCCCCCTTGATAACCCCTATAGAAGTCCCCTGTATAATCCCCTATATAACCTCTCCCAGGAGTTTAGACTATAGCTCACATGTGCAAGTTGGTCTAAGGTGCTCCATGTCAGGGATTATCACTGTCTTGTTCGCTTCGATGTTCGCAAGCGGCTTCGCCAAGCAGCAGTTCTCAAAGGAGGCATCCATGTTTTGCGCCTTGGCGGAGTGATCTGGGAATTATTTCCGCAGGAATCCTGAAGTGTTGAGGTAGTTTATTGTAGTATGCTATAGTAAGTTATAGGTCATTATATTATTACATAGTATATTCTGGTATATTACATGGGAATTTGCTGGCATCCCAGGCGCCTTTGCTTTGAAGCAGGCGGCAACTCTGTCAGACATGGCAGCTTCCTCAGCGTGATGTGTGGCCTGGTGTCTTGGACTCAGCAACCACCGCGCTAAGGTGGTCTTCCTTTTCGTTGGCATTACAGCCGTATACTGCGATCGCAGAGGTTCGTGCTCACTATTGTCCGGTGGCCATTGATGGAGGGATCTGAGCTGAACTATGAGGCCTTGTCTTTGGAAGTCTGGTCATCGCCTTCTGCCTCCTCGGAAGGGCAGCAGCCGTCTGCTCGCCGAACATTATATTAGCTGTTTTTGAAGTTGAGTATTTTTCAGGAGATTTCAGCAGAGAATGATGCCGAAAGGTTGTGCCGCTTGCGCTGTTCACAAACGGCTGCAAGGCTGGAGCAGATTAGACAGTTGAGATCCTCCCGGCACCATCAGCAAAACGCCAAGAGGCTGTGATGAGCCGTGGCGAGTCGTGGGGGAAGTCGCTGAGACTTAATTGGAAGAAGGCGCGATTCTTATGTAGTAGTTTCCATTTTCTTTTCCATTGTCCCCTATATGGCCCTCTGCACGTTCTCGGCGGCCTTGCTTGCGCCAGATCAGTAGTCCACACATTAGGATCCCATTTTGGTACCAAATGGAAAAGATAATGCAAAACGAAATGGAAACTGGGATTATATGGGGGTTTAGAAGGTTTTAGACCTTGCACAGAACTTTTGCATCAGCGACATTCTTAGAGCTGGAATCGTGCATCCATGCACGTGTCCGCAAGTTGCAAAGTGTAATGGTAGGTTCCATAGATAGGGGGACCCCAATATAGACGCTAAGATATTATAATCCTTATCCTGGGGGCTCCAAAGTGGTACCGATAATTTTGGGAAACTTATGAAAGGGTGGGGCGGCAATGCTTTAGGCACCTGTTTCCAGATCAGGACCGCCCAAAGTAAAACATGATTCTGTAGCAGATAATATGAGCCATAGTCTAAACTCTTTAAAGGGGTTATATATGGTTTTGGGTTTAAGGCCTAAGGGCCGAGGGTTTAGGGTCTAAACTCCTTAAAGGGTGGGCCATATAAGGGATTATAGGGGACTACTGTCGGGGCTATTAGGGGGATACGAGGAGCTTAAAGTTTAGACTATAGCTCACATAACAGCGGCAGGATGGGGCAAGGCAACTACATTGTGCAGGCTAAAAAAACTATAGTCCCCGTTGAGTAGATAGAATATAGCTTTGGGTATATTAGTGTAAGATCCCCATATACCCCATATTCTATCTACGTAAGGGGGACAATAAACCCTAAACCCTGCAGCTCTTAAATTTTCTTCAAGCAAAAGTTCTCGTATACTGCCGTAGCTTAAAGCATCTTCCAACTTTTCACCTCGTGAACAGCGCAGCGTATAGAGCTTGGGAAGTCAGCAGATTTAGCCGGAGTGTGACTATATTCCATAGTGGAACTTCTTAGTATTATTAGCATGTTTCATTACATACTAGTGTAATATAGTAGATATTCCTACATATTCAAGTTTCCTAGGCCTGGGTCAGGGTAACATTGATAAAGCTCAGCGACCCCTTGCTTGTAGCGTCATCTATGCATCTCACCATAGACCCCGTGTCCATCATAAACAAATCTTTCCCTTATATACACATATGTGTGTGTGTATTTACTTGTTTATGTGTAAAAATGTATATTGGTGCTATATGGGGTGTAATTATTTGTTATTAGAAAGGTGGGGGGGGAAGAGATGAACCCTGCAGATCTTCATGATGTGGCATGCGGGCCTGCGTGGTGGCACCTTGGAATCCAAAAGCTCAGCGTTTTGAATCTGGATGGATTGCGGATTGCGGCAGACGTGCCCTAGGTAGAGCAAAGCCCAAGCTTCAAACCAGGTAGTACCTTTTTACTGGGTGATACTGGGTGGGGGGTCCACCTAACCTAGGCTTCGTTATGCTCAGTATTTATTAGTCATTTTGGATACCACTCGACTGGTCATATGCGCGTATTGGTGTCCTCGCGACAGTGATTTTTTCAGGGTTGTGATGTTACCTTTCAGAAATGTCCACCATGGCACTTTCTGGTGAAGCTGGGTGTGAGGTTTGGTTGGAGTCTTGCAAAGGAATTGCTTTGGTCCTCACGCTGGAGCTGGAGAAGTGGGTGGATGAGGATGCTCCTGGAACGAGGGACACCCTTCGCAATGCCACAATCTTCATCATAGCCACTTGCTTGCCTCACGAGCTTTCAACTGTGCTTCAAGCGTAGTTTGTCGTTGCGATCCGTCTTGATACGAGGTCTTTTTCCTGCTCTTCTTTGGCAGCCGAACGGCATTTAGCAACAAGATTCCTGGTTGGCTTTGCGGGTGCTTTTACACCCAGTGTGATTGAGTTCATGTACCAACACAAAAAAACTCATGCAGACTTTCCGAGTGATTGTCCAGCTAGAGATGACGGATAGTAAAACGTGCCGAGGCGGCAGCACCAAAATATTGCTGCAGTCCGGAGCTCAGAAGTTTACGTGCGCTCTGCAAAGTCGATAGCAATTGGCACTTGCAGTTTGCATGCAGTTTGCTTCTAATGCGGGACTTCCAGGACCTAGTTTGAATGTGAGTCTGCCGTAGATGCTGAAGCCGCCGTAAGGTGGCTGGGAATACCAATGGCAGGCAGCTGACATGACCTGTTTGACATGAGAGAGCTGCCGTTGTCACCAGGTAGGCCTGCTGCTGCACCTTAAACGACTGCTGTTTCAGTAATTCTGCAAGGTGAGCTATGGCTCTTCTGTGATCCTCTTGAAGTGTAGCCTCAAGTCTCCATGCCTAAGCCCAGACTACCGTACCCTCCGTACTCCCCCCCAAAAAGGGATGCAAGTTGACGACTTTAGGGTGTAGGGTTTAGGGTCTGCCATCTTAGCTGTTTGAGCTTGATGCTGCTCTACCACTGGTGCCACGTTGGCGTTGTTTGCTCATGTTTGAGCCAACCTCTCAAACCAGCAGCGAGGCTTTATCTCTGTTTTTCTAGTGCTGCAATACCAGCTCCACAACACTGCGGTGATGGCAGTGGCAAGCTCTTTCAATTAACATCCTCGGCCCGGGAAGGCCTATTTCTTACTTTTGGTTAGCTAGGAATGAAGGAATGCATCTTCATGTATAGTAGTCCCTCGACAACCCATTATAGGAGTTTCCATTTTCATTTCCTTTCCTTCTTTCCCAGTTAACCAGCGGTAAGATAGGTTATTTGGGAGTCGAAGCCAAGCCTCTACCCTAAACTGTAAACCCTGAATCCTAAACCCTAAATAGTAGTTTCCATTCTATTTCCATTATCCCAATATAACCCCAATATATACCCTATTATAATGTAGTAGTTTCCATTTAATTTTCAATTTGATTCTCCATTATACAGCTCTTATAACACCATTATAGTAGTTTCCATTTTATTTTCCATTATCCAATATAACCCCCATATACACCCTATAATCCCTGTATAACCCATATTATACACCCCTTATAATCCTTGTAGTTTCCATTCTCTTTTCCATTATCCCACTATAATCCCAATGTAATCTTTGGGAGGCAAGGCCAAGCCAATGCCTATACATCATGGGCGGACACATCGCTGCCTGAGCTTTCTTCGCTATCGAGTGATGCGCCCAGCTTCTGGAAAGGGAATTTTATGGGCACCCCAAAGCAGCGGGAACCCCCAGAATATAGTAGCAATATAATCAGAATATAGTTACTAGTACCAGGGTCCTTCTATTTCTGGTTAATTCCTACTATATTCTTGGGTTCCCTGTTTGGGATCCCCATTACAGTCCTTTTATTCTGGATGATGTAGAGCTTCGACTGGTATCATTCAACTGTCATGTTCGGTTTTTGCGAGGGCATATGCAGTGGGATATCAGTAGATATTTTGGAGTGTCTCACCAGCAACCAAGACTAGGGTCTGCATTACATTTGAGGAGAGGTGATGGTTGAAGAGCCCTGACGTTTGCTTCCAAGCATGGGTTCAGCGTGAAAACATCTGACAGAGGTCTTCGGGAGAATTCTGGTTTCAGAAGACTCGCCAATGCGCCTTGGCTTGCACTGCCAATTTGCCTGATGCTGGATTTGATCGTCCGAGGGCGACGTGCGAAAACTTGGTTATGATGATGATGATGGTGATAACAATGTTGATGATGATTGCGATGATGATGATGATGATGATGATGATGATGTGAAGAAGCTGTTGTGTATGCCGTCTGACATGCGGTTTGCTGAGGGACGAGGGTGCTCTGCCTCAGCTGATTGCCCGGGCCTCGAGCATTTTGGTTCTTGAGGATCGGGATCCTTCAATCCTAGCCAACAAAATGTCAGGTAAGTGGTCTTTGAAGCCTATGTTCACGAGCCCTTACACAGCGCACCCAGATTGAATCCTGATACCACCCATTACATGAGCCATAGTCTGAACTCTGTGTATCCCTCTTTATAACCCCTATATACCCCTGTAACAGTGCCCTGGATAAACCCTAAACCCTAAACCCCTTTTAAGGAGTAAAGACTATAGTTCACATGTTGTCTTATCACAGTCATAAATTAAGGACAAGGCGTCAGCCTCGATTCATGCAACTTCAGCACCTAGAATAGCATGGCTGGAACAGCAAGAGGTAGCCTGAGGATCAGCACGTCTTTCTTCATCAGTATGTTGAAAAAGAATGAAGGTGGGCTATATGGTATGGATGGTATCGCGTTTTCTTACTGCTATAATTGCCTCATTTTCGCGTTCCCAGGCCGACCTAGCCGCTGTTGAGAGAGCAGCTTCCTCTGCCACGGGGCCGCACCTGCCAGATGCAATCAAGTGTAACCTCCTAGGAAAATATCAGGAATAATGATTCCTATCATCTTATCTGATCTGATGGCTGTGCCGGGCCATTTGCATTGCTACACGCAGGCTTTTTTGCATCACAGGGCAGAAGTCAGTTTTGGCGGTAACTGGCTTCACGCGGATTGATGCGGCAGGAGATAAGCAACAGAGAGGTGGCAGCAGCGCTAATAATGAAGTGGAGAGCGTTGGTGACTAGCATTCCCAAGTTCTACCACGTTTATATATCCATGTCATACGATGGCAGCTTCTACTTCTAGAACTATTACTATTCCTGTTACTGTAGCTGTGACGACGACGACGACTACTACTACTACGACATTAACGGTTACTGTTATTGTTAGTACCTCTATATTATCTGTCCGTGCGGATGGCCCTAAACTTTATGAATCCCTAAACCCTAAATGGCAATTTCCATTTTCTTCTCTACTATGCCCTACATAACCCCTTTATAACCCTTAACCCTAAACCCTGAATCCTAGCTGAATCCTAGACCCTAAACCCGTTATATATCCCCTACACAGCCTATTGTTGTAGCTTCCATTTTCTCTTTCATTATCCCTTATACATAGGCCCAATATACTATAGATAAGTTTCCATTTTCTTTTCCATTTTCTAAACCCCAAACCCTTAACCCTAAACCCAAAATCCTAAGCCCTAAACCCTGAATCCCAAACCCTTAACCCTAAACCCTGAAGCCTAAGCCCTAAACCCTAAACCCATTATATGGTAGTTTCCCAAAATAAGGGGACCCCAATATAGACCCCAAAATACTATGGTCC